TGGGGTCGCAAAGCCGCCCAGGGTCGTAGAGAGCGGCGATGTGATTGGTGGCTGAGGGTCTAAACCCCGTCCATTCCTTCGATGGGATGATGGCTGCTTTGACAGGCGCGGCATGGCACGGTTGAGACGGCACACGGCCGACGTACGGGCATGTCAAGTTGTTGTCAAGGTTGGATGGCAGGTGAGACTGGTTTCCCTCCTGTTATCCTACTAGAGTCGTCCTGACTTTGGATTCCATTACCCCTCTCTAGGACCAGGACCCCCCTCCCTCCTTGCCTCGACATCACTAAATGCCACTGAGTCTGAAGCCACCATCGTGCGTTCTTTTTTCCTGACTGCGGCTTTACCTACCTGTAGAACCGGGGGCAAGGGTTCGGGGGTTTTACGACGAGGCGAATGTCTACCAGATCTGTCATCCCGTCCCTCTACGACTCGGAGGCCCCTCCCTCTTCCTCGGTTCCGCCTTCAGGGCATCCCATACCAACCACGGGAAACGTAGCTCCCGGCACCAGGAGAGATTCATCGACGGAGGGCGGGCATGACCATGAAGCTGTTTCCGGGTGATCAGAAAGACGGACAGGAATAAGGTTAATATACATATGAAGTCCGCCAGCATCCTGTTTCTACTCTGCTTTTTCTGCGTTGCAACCGAGCAGAAGAGATCAACAGATTATGCTCCGCTAGAGTAGATCTCTTGGCCCTTCTTCGCGTTTACTTTCCCTCAATTTGCCTTTTCTTTCTCTTCTCCGTGAGCCCCAGCGGCCACTCTTAATTCCTCTCTTATTTTGAGTCTTCACGATCCTTTTACTATCCATAATTCTTACCTTTCGAGTCGGCTGTGCCTTTAACACTCGCTGCTAACCCCTACCTCTCGTTTGTAAACCCTAATCGTTTGTGTGGACTTTGGAACAAGCTATGCATCTCAAGCACGTTATTGCTGCCCTGGCGGCGTTCAGTTCGTTGGCTGCGGCTGGTAGGTCTCGACTTCATCACACCTGGCTTGTATAGTCATGCTGACTGCCATGTCTCCTTAGCGCCTGCTCAGGATGCAAAAGCCGCCGACAAGGGGCAAGGTCAGAATCAGAACCAGAACCAGAATCAAAATCAGGACAAGAACAATGCCAAGGGCAACAATAACAACAATAACAACGGCAAGAACAACAAGAACAATGGCGACGTGAACATTATCCAGAACATCATCAAGCCCAACATCATTGTCGTCCAGGAGAACCTCGACAAGATCAACCAACTGCAAAGGCAGAACGAGAGAGAGCTCGCTGCCTTGGTGCAGTCTCAGCTTGCACTCGCAACGCAGCTGCAGACCGTCAAGGATAACATCCGGATTAACCACTTCAAGGCGCAATTTCCTCAGGCGGTGAGTCTATCCTTGTTCTTCACTTGTACAGCCTCGATACAACTGGCAAGGGGTATACAACAATTTATGAGCGCAAGACTGACTTTGACCAAAGAACACCATCATCGTCACTGTCACCGGCCTAGTTGACAACAGAAATCAGGGGCAACAGAACAAGCGATATCTCGTCAACCAGCTCCTCGCAGACAACGGCCAGGCAGGGAAACAGACGCTCGTCATGGTAACAGACCCAACCAACCTGGAAATCTCAACACCGCAGGCAGCTTCAGCCCAAGCAAACGCCTTTGGCGCAGCCCGCGTGCAACTCGAGGATTCCTCTTCGTCCGCTGGATCCAACACGTCCGACTTCAGCGCCCAAGCCGTCGGGTCCGCCCCGGCCGACAACACCCTCAGTCTCACAGCCTTCAACCAGGCAGCCCCCTTTGGCCAGATAGGCCAGAGCATCATCCTCCCCGCAGGCACGCAGGCGCCACAGCTGCTCTCGGTCCCGGACCCGGCCGCCATAATCCTGCCGCAGCAACAAGGCCTCTTTGTCCAGAATGCGGGGACCTTTTTGACCGACTGCGCGACGTCTGCCGCCAACGCCGCCAACGGAAACCCGGCACTGGCCGGAGCCGCAGCGCAGATCTTTTCGAGCTTTGAGCAGATTGCCGCCGCGCAGCTGGCCGGGTTGTCCGGGCTGGGCATCTTCAATGGGAATAGGGGCAACAACACGGCGCAAGCACCACCGCCGCCTCCTGCTCTGGCTCAGAGTCAAGGCCAAAATCTGGGCAGCATTGCCGTCGGAGCGAACCAGGGAGGAATACAACCACCCCCAGCAGCAGCAGCTCAACCACCGGCGCAGGTCGCGACGCCGCCTCCGCCTCCGGCTCAGGCTCAGGGTCAGCAAGGCGGACAGAACCTGGGAAGTATCGCGGTCGGCGCGAACCAGGGACAACCTGCTCCCGCCGCTGCTCCAGCGGCACAGCCTCCCGCTCAAGTAGCAGCCCCGCCGCCGGCGTCGCAGAATGCTCCCGCAGCACAGCCGGGAGCAGCCATAGTCGACGGAGCCAACCAGGCCATCGCACCAGTGCAGTTTGGAAAGAACCCCGGCTCGCCCCCACAAGCGGCGCCGGCTTCGGCGCCTGCGGCTGCCCCGCCTGCTCAGGGAAACACTGGGTCCGGAGTGGTGGTTGTGGGATCGAGTCCCGGGGGCCAGAGCGTTACACAGCCGGCTCCGGCTCCACCTGCTGCGGTTGCTGCTGGTGCGAATCAGGCGCAACCTGCTGCCCCGCCTGCAGCTCCAGTGCCGGCGGCGCCTGCGGCGTGATAGTGGGAGTGGACGGATGGATGGGACTTGGGAATGGGAACGGGGTGTGTATTGGAGTTGAGAGCAGGGCTTTAGCAGGTTGAACGGCTGGCTCGGTCTACTGAGATCATGATGGGCGATGATGATAATGAAAGTATCTCGCTGTTAAATCAAACTGCAGGAAGCTCCATGATAGGATGCACTGCGAGTAATTCCGAGCAATGTCAAGAAATATGTGGAAGAGAAACAGCTTCATCACAAGCTTCCGACTACATACTTACCTAGTAAGTGGTCATGAGTGTCTGAGAGACGACATCGACGCCTCTTGACTCAGCTTGTTGAGTACCGGAAGATCAGTAACAAGACCAAAGACACCATGCGATCATCTACTTAGGTATACTGAAAAGTGGTTGAACGTCCGCAACGTTCATGTAAGGTATCGGGTCTGATGGGTGATAGTGAAAGGAGCAATATTCGAGAGGGGCACGGTACGGGACAGTAATTGACTCGATTGCCAATTAGGCCTTGATGATAGACCATCATCACAAGCTCCAAAGAGGCTCATGCCACTGCGACTTGCGGCGCAAAGAACGAGTTCCAATTGCCATCGAATGTCGTCGGTTGAGCCCGTCCAAATTTGTGGGCTTACAAAGTCAAGCACTGGAGGCATTAGATTTCTCCAAAGAGACCCCGACCAATCGAAAACGACCCCTGCATGCTTTCTCGGATCAAGTGGATGCTAGCGTCTTGAGAGCGAGGGGTCGCCGCCAGGTCCCAGCCAACCACTGCCTACGAGAGTGGCTTAGTCAGTCGTCCCCGCCGAAAAATTTCCCAGCCGTGAGGCGAAGAGCGTGCGCTCCAAGTCCACGTGACCATAGGGTAAGCGAAGCCCACCGCCAAACTCGCAAATTTCCTTTCACCCACTCTCGAGAGTCTATCACACCTGACCGAATCTGTTCGTCAGCCATCAACCATCGACATCTAGGAGCAGCCTTCGTACGACAGTTGCCCAGCATGTCGCTCGTCTCCGGGGAGAAGTGTTCGTCTACCTCAGCACCCCTCTTGTCTTTCGAGAAATAATTCGAATTGTTTCTTGAGGGAGAGAGCAAGTTTACGGAATGGCGATGCTAACTGTTTTGGTGCAGCGAACTTCCAGTTCATTCTCCGTCTTCTGAGTATGTATACTCCCTCCGCGCCGACGACAGCAAGCCCTACTACACACATCACACCGATCATCCCGACATGAAATTCGCGAGAGCCGGCACGAGAATCGGAAAGAGGAATCAGGAGATGGCTAACGGATGCTCGCAGACACCAACGTTCGTGGTCAGGAAAAGGTCATGTACGCGCTCACCAAGATTGGTGGTGTCGGTCGTCGTTACTCCAACATTGTGTGCAAGAAGGCCGATGGTACGTCTACGAGAAAGCCCTACCCTCTTCCCGTTCCTCCCGTCAGCAGGGTCCACATACGAGGACTGCAATCTTGGCGCTAGGAATGGAGAGGAAGCTCGAAGCACATCAGGAGGACACGAGAAGACTAACGAATCCCCAACCACAGTCGACCTGAACAAGCGCGCCGGTGAGCTCACCTCCGAAGAGCTTGAGCGTATCGTCACCATCATCCAGAACCCCACCCAGTACAAGATCCCCTCGTGGTTCCTCAACAGACAGCGCGACATCGTCGACGGCAAGGACAGCCAGATCCTCGCCAACGGCGTCGCCTCCAAGCTCCGCGACGATCTCGAGCGCCTCAAGAAGATCCGCGCCCACCGCGGTCTCCGTCACTACTGGGGTCTCCGCGTCCGCGGTCAGCACACCAAGACCACCGGCCGCCGCGGCCGTACGGTCGGTGTGTCCAAGAAGAAGGGTGGTTAAGCGTGTGGCTTCTGATGATGAAAATTTGGGTCGTGCGGTGGCAAGGAACAATAGGCGGCGTGATACGGCTGGTTTTCTCTCCATCTCATCACTCGTGATGATACTCTACTGCTGCATTACAACAAGGGGATTGCTATTCTGCGCAGGATGGTGGCGTCTCTAGATAACGAATCGGAAAGAGTTCCATCATACCAAAACAACAAAAAGCTAAAAAAGTACACGGCGTTTCTGGGTGACGACGTGACGTGATTCTTTTACACGATACACAAAATGACAAGGTTTAAACTCATCAATAGTGGCAGACAAGCTATGGATCGCAATGGTGACTTCTGGGAGAGAATCATGCACGCAATTTCTCGTTGGGAACGCTGTAGATCATAGTGACATGCCATACCTATGCCAAATGCCATCTCAAGGCTATCATTTCGAAAATCTGTGCGACTTCCAAGCGAAGCGGATCCCGCGACCTGCTCTCTGTGGAGGCAGAACCATGGAGCCTCAACTCCACACGGAAGCCCGAACCCCAGCCGATCCGGCCCGGCTCTGACTCCAACTTCAAGATGGCTTCTTAGTCATTCAAGGTGGGCGTGCATTCGAACGCCCGTACATCCCACCAAGGCGAAGAGCATTTCACGACGTGTAGCTCAGTAGGGAGAGAGAGTGGTACACTTGAAAAGGTAGGAACAAGTCAACCGTCTTCGCAAAAGAGCACGCGGGCCCAATACTCCAGCAAAGTAAAGTCATCGGAATCATCAGTACCTGACTGAGTCCGGATGCTCGTGCAGGTACTACGTATCTGTAGGCCTAAGCCTGCTTGGGGTACAAGGCGAGCAACAAGAAATAGACCATAAGCAGTAGGTATGCAAAGAACGTCACAGTAGTAGCGAAGTGCAAGCGGAAGGAAGAGAAGGGAGGTTGGAAGGAAGGAATGGGGCGAGGTTGAAACCCTCATAGGGACCGAAAGTGCTCACGATCTCCAAGGAAGCATCGCCCGTTGTCGACGACGGTCGAACGGTATAACTGTGCCTTTAACACTCTATCCTTAGAGTGCCTACATGGGCAGCCTTGAGTGGCGAGCAGTACCAGAGGTGACGCCATAGTGGGCAGCTTCCCTTTTTGTGTGCATTTTCGTTAGTAGTAATTTTGGTGACGGGGTGGTGCACCTCCCAAGATGGATCCTGATGCCGCGCCTCCCTCGAGGTACCTCCCGCCTACCTGTCTACCTGCCTACGAAACGGGGCTTCGAGATCGAGAGGTCGTGGGTTCGAGCCGACTTTCTTTTCGACTTTCCCCCGTTGCCTTTGCCAGGTCGGAGGGGATCCCCCCCCTCTCTATGTATGATGTCGGTGTACAAACAACCTCACTTTATCAGGTACGCTCACACGGGGCATGGCCGATGATATCTGATCATGTCGTGAAATCTACTTTTCATCATGAATCTACGAAAACCCTTCTCAGTCTAGAAAGGGGGTATATCGACAACAACAACTCCACATCAGCCCGTCCAACCTTTTCTTTCTTAATCCTCATGAATGACAGCCATATCCAAAACCTCAACCCTACCCATCCCCTTCGTCTCACCCGCAATGAAATCCCCCAACCCCTTGAACGCGCCAGGCTCCACGAACCCGACAACCTCCCACTCGCTCCCCAGCACGTCCTGGCTCTCCACCTGCTCCACGAACCCCAAAATCCGATCCTTGACCGTGCCGGGCTTCTGCTTCGGTTCGTCTCCGTCGTCGTCGCCGCCTCCCTTCTTGCCGCCGGCGGCAGTAGGCTTCTCCTTGACAGCCTGCTTCAGCACGCTCGTCGCGCATGTCACGCGCAGCCTCATCCGCGCCCTCTGCACGGGAATAGGCTGCGCCGCAATCAGCGCCTTCATCGCCTCGAGCGCCTGCGACTTGGCTGACTTGGTCGTCGTCACGCCCGTCCAGTGGAACCCCTTCTCGCGGGGCTTCGCCTCGCCATCCTCCCCGCCCGCCGGCGTCCCCGCGCCGCTCGCCGTCTTGGATCCGGCAGCGCCCTTCTTTCCACTAGCATCGTCTCCATCCCCGTGCGCCGCAGAGCTCAGCATATCGAGCGCCTTCTCAATCATGCCCGTCGTATACACCCTCTTCGTCCTCGGATCCACGAGCCGACTCGCTACGATGCCAATCACCTCGTTATGCACCCGTTCCGTCTGCTCCGCCCTCTCCTTCCCGCCCACCTGCATCTCCCCCTTTTTCAATATCTCCAGCACGATATCGTCCGTGCTCTTGCCCTTGCCAAATGCCTTTTCCAGGTCCTCCTTGGGCGCCGTCTGGCCCTTGGAGACGTTGAGGAACACGTTGGGAATCTGCAGCACGTTGTCGAGGTCCGTCTCAATCCCGGACCGCCACTCCATGACCTTGTTCTTGTAGCACGCGATCTCGAAGCGCTTCTTGCCTTTCTTCAGGCGGACCATAGACACGTTGGTCAGCTTGATCTGGTTCGAGGGTTGGTTGATCATCCGCGACATTGTGGCGGTTGTGGGGTTGTCGCTTCTCGATAATTGTCTGAGGTGTGTAGGATCGTGCGCAGAATGGTCCTTCGCGACCGCGTGTATTTGATTGCGACGACAAGAGAGAGAGGGAGTCACTTGGGTTCGTCGTTGTTTGGTGACGTTGGAGGCAGTCGTCGACCAGAAAAGTTTTGGCGGGGTAAGGTACTGATGTGGTGCAGCTGCGAGGAGGGGCAGCAGGTGGTGAAATATGTTTACGGCAGGTGCTGGGCTGGTCTGACGTTGTTTTAGCGGATACCAAGCCAGGAATTCTGCAGCTAAGGCACAGAAGGCGCCGGTGACTAATACTGTCATTTCGACTCATCTCCGTTACAGCTGCAAGACAACAGGGTTGGGCGGACCCATTCATACAGCACCATCGGAACGGCATATCTTGAGTCTCTGGGGAAAAAAAGAGTCATATTCTAACAGCATAACTAAATTCTACTGCGCCGGGCTTGAACTGGCGCTGTAGGTAAACCGGACGACTGGGTCCCCCCCTATTGACAAACTCCAATATGCCCAGTCTTGTACTACGAACCAATCCGAGCGTTCACTGTTACAACAGCATTCCATACGCTATTCAATCTTCGTTTCGTACATTGCTCATTACTGTGAGTGCATTTACGCAACCCACTCACCGCCAAGCCAGCGGTTGAAGAAGTCGGACGAGGCCTCGGGCTGGTCCATGGGGACCATGTGTCCGGCGCCGTACAACTGCATGAAGGTGAAGTTGCCGCTGGACTTGACCTTTCCGTACTCCTCGCCCTTGCCAACAGTGAGACCCTTGACCTCGGCCTTGTTGAAGCTCTTCTGGCCAGGCCACTCAAGAGCCTCAGTCCAGGCACGGTTGCCGAGCCAGTTGCAAATGTAATCGGCATCGCCGGCGTAGATGAGAACGGGGATCTTCTCGAGAAGGCCGGGAACGATGCGGTGGAAGGGCTGGAACCAGTCACCGGCGAAGAGGAAGTTGCGGTTGATGTCAAAGTTGCAGCTGTCGTAGCTGTCGACCTCAGCACCGAGGGCCTCCTTGACCTCATCCTGGTTGAGGTACTCGCTGATCCAGCCGAGAGCAGAGTAGCAAAGGTTGCTGCTGTCTTCGCACTTGCCACGGATGTCGTAGACGTTCTGGCCGGTGCGCTGGTAGGGGCCGATTAGGGCGTTGTTGCAGTAGATGCTGGCGGGAACGCAAGACCAGACGCTGCCAGAGTCGTAGCAGTTCTTGATCAGGCTCTGGCAACGGGGGAGAGCGTTGTCCATGGCCTGGCACTCGCCCTCATCGAGAACAGCCTTGTAGCCACCCTCGCCGCAAGCCATGGGGCGGTAGTAGCCGTACTGGGTCCAGCCGTCGGTGAGACCGTTACCGATCAAGACACTCTTCAGGTTGATGTTGCGGTCCTCGTGGGAGAGGATTTCAGAGGCGAAGACGGGGATGTAGTGGCCGGCGTACGACTCGCCAGCAATGTGGAAGTCCTGCTTGGCGTACTCCGGGAATTGGTGGAAGAAGAGGGACATGAGAGCGTAGACGTCCTTGCCGGCAGCGACCGTGTTGGAGACGGAGGAACCGGAGTAGGAGTAGCCAACGTTGACAGGCTGGTCAAGGAAGATGACGGAAGCGTTGTTGTTCCACGACCACTCGTTGTTGACAATCTTGAGCTTCTTGTCGATGGAAGCGGGACCGAGCTCCATGAAGAGACCGGTCAGGGAGGAGCAGCCAGGGCCACCGTTGAGCCAAAGGACGACGGGGTCGTTCTTAGGGTCATTGCGAGACTCGAAAAACCCTGCGATAAGGTTAGAAACGGCTCTAAACAGACATAGATAATAGAATCTATCGAGCGGGCTGGCTTACAGTAGAAGAGATGCTTGTCGTTCTCTTCATCATCGAGGTATCCGCTGTACTGCTTGACCTTGTCGACGCCGAGAGCGGAGGGATCGACCTTCTTGGCGCGAAGGTTGAAGTTCTTGAGGTCACCGCCAATCTTGCGGTGCTTCTCTCCATCCTTCTCAACCCACATGCCCTGGACGTCGGCACCCTTGACAACGTGGTCCCACTTCTTATCGGACTTGCGGTGGTGAGGCTTGGGCTTGGTGGCCTGAGTGGTCTTCTTGAAGGACTCGACGGCCTCGGGGGCGAGGAGAGTGATCTCGTCCCAGACGGCCTTGGCCTCGGAGGTCATCTTGCCGAACTTGTCCTCGAAAGCCGAGAGCCAGTTCTCGCCGGTGGTCTTGATGGTGTCAAAGGGGCTGTCCTGGCCGCCGAGGACTTGCTGGTCCAAGGCGAGGGCGGTGGAGGCCGCGCCGAGGACGAGGGCGGAGGTTGAGAACCTCATGATGGGCAATCAGCTCGATTGATGGAGCACTGACGATGGAATCGCAAACAGATAAGATGGAAAGAGATGATTATGGGGAGGGGAAGAAGGTAAAGATGGCGGAGGGAGACGAAGTTGTAGATGGAAGGTTGAAAGAGAATGAGAGGAAGAGGGATCTCGGAGGTAGTGTGACAGGCGACAGGCAGGAAGCTCGCGGACGTAATAAATGAAACATGACGGAGGCGGACGGGTTGGCTGGGTGCTCTGCATACTCTGGGTGCTTGGGGTGGGGGGGGGGGGAGACCCAGAGAGCAGAGGTGCATAGCTTGTCACTGCTGCCATCGGGGCTGGGGTGCGTTGGCCGAGCTGCCTTGGGTCGCGCTACCGCTGTCGCAGGCTCGCAACAGCAATTGCAACGACACAACTCAAGCAACAGCTCTACGGATACGGATACCTACACAAACCGCGTGGACCGCCCTCAATGCACAGGTTGCTGTGGGGAGCTCCAGCTCACAATGCAGAGAAACGACTGGCTCGTGAGCTCCCCAAGGGTTGGCCAAACGATAGTCGAGAAACACTGTCCACCTGATCCCCGCGCCTCGGACGCTAAAGAAGGGAACCTGCCTGTTGCAGATCTGCTAACAGACTCTCGCCTGCCAGCACACAATAATCTGATAAGTCGATACGTCTCTCTGCCGTTCCTCGCTCTCGCCCGCCCTGCTTCGTCTGCGTCATGTCAGGTACTGCCGTACCACTTGGCAATCACCTCAGGCACCACCTCGCAGTCCCACGGCCAGGAACCTGTGCCGCGCCGCGCCGTGCCTGGACCTGGGACCTTTTGCTGCGGAGGTTCCACAATTCTTCCTTGCTGATAAGCTGATGCCGCCATCCCATTCGCCCGGCTTAGCCATTCCAAACCAAACGGGAGGGTTCTCATGTCCAGCCGAACCCGACATTGACGCTCCAAACGCAAACTGCAAGACCGGACGCCCCAGCAACAAGTCCATTTTCGTGCTCATGGTGCTGTCGGTGTATCGAGGAACTTTGGAAGAGGGAAGATGATGTTCATACTAGACCTTACGCAAGATTTGCCTCACTCAGCCGCCGCTACCCACGCGTGCCACGCCCCAGGAGTTTTCGGTGCACTGGCTTCAGTCAACCCGCCAGCGAACTGCGACTGGCATTTCGTTTGCCCATTATCATGTGTGCTTCTTACGGACGCTATATACTGTCCTACTTTCGAATACTTGCCTATTGCATATTCGCCTTTCTTACTCAGAATACTTGCTTTACTATATTCGCAGTTTGTGCCAGTCCAGAAAGCCACCGTCCGTCGCCGCCAAGACATGACTTCATATGGGTGGGTCCGTCTCTGATTTGAGCGAGAACCTCTTCGGCCGTCCAGATACCCACCCATCCACCAAACGCCATGCCGCTTCGCCCGATCGAGTGAAAGGGTATCAACGCAAACCTACCTCATCATCAGGATTCGACTTCACTGAGGCTATCCACCAGACTCTGGCTGGAGACAACTCATAGCTGTCGCGGCGCCAGCAACGTCCCCTTTCCTGATATCTCGGCAAGTACCAGTAGAATCGGTTCGCCATCGTAGTGAACTTGTTAGGATTTGCTATCATCTACTATGGGCTGTCGGCTATGTCTAGCCGTGTTCCTTCACGTACCTACTCCCTCCATCCCATGGTCCGATAGCACGCCCACTAGCCAGACCAAAATATGGCATTGCCGCCATTGTTGCCCAATATCAGACCGTCTGTTGACTGTCCCAAAGCTGAAATCGTCACAACCTGCCGACTTGCCCAGAACGCCGCCTCCCACCCGGCCTACTTTTGAGCAGGCGGTCGAGGTCCCGGAAGAGCAATGTCGTAGGCCTTGCCATCCAGCTCATGACTTGCGCGGCCGTATTCCCCTCGTTATCGTCGCCAGTGTAGGCGAAGCACACAAACACCCAATACGCATTAACTCCATCCCCAATACTGTACATAAATCGCGAGTTCCGTATACTGTGCTTTACAATTCTTTTGTTCGACTGTGGCGCTGCTACCGTCATCTCGGATCGCGATTAGATTAACACCCCTGTGGTGGCTCGGGTATATCGATCGCTGGGAGATCTGCGTGAGCCACCACAGTCGTAGCTTTCCTGTTCCTGTACCGGTGCCGCACCAACCGAATGTAGATGCCAGAATCGGCTCGTCTCGCTCAAAATCCTTGGTTCATCAGGTAGCTGTGTCGGCCGCTGACATGGACGGGCTCGACGCCCTGTTCCGCCGAAAGAACTGGAAGGCATTCATGCGGAATCTACTAGATTTCTTCTTCACAACCTTGCCGCCTTCTGTTTTGCCCAAAGACCCGTTGGACAAGTGGGAGCCGTTGGCTTCGTAGTGAGGGGCGTTCGCGTCGTGGTCCAGGAATGAGGACTCAGGCTTGACTTCGGCGAATGACTTTGGCTCCGAAATCGTGGGCACGCCTGGAAGCTGCTCCGTCGACTCTCTGCTGACAATGCTAGTGCCTTGAGTGCTCGGTGACAGGGGCATCTTGCCGGTGGTGGCACTCGTTGCCTGTGAGGCCCAGTCGCCAGTGTACGGGCCCGTAGTACTGCCGTCCGTCGTTTCGCTACACCGCTGCTTGCCGTTATGGCCGTGATGATTGTCCGGCGAGCTACTAGCCCTGTCCCTGCAGTGAAAAGGGTCGCTCGCTGCAAAGTCGGCCACGGAATCAAAAGACGTTACGATGCCGTTCACCTCCTTAGGGTCCTCCGGCTCCGGCATGTCAGTGATGAGCGCTGTTGTGTGCTCCGAGCCCGCTGACTCGTGGGCCAGCCCATCATCTTCCTGCTTTAAGTCGTCGAGCAGCGGAGGCGGCATTGTAAGCTCGGCCAGAGGCGTCGTCACCCGCGGGGTCATGGAGTCTCTGCTTCCTTCGGGCCCGCCAGCCAAACTCATAGTCCGTGGGGAGAAGGCGCCATCGTTGCGCAGAAGTCTCTTGCGGATAGGATCCTCCTTCGCCTGCTCTTCCCTGATCCGTTGCTCAAAAAGACCTTTATTGATTTCGAGCTCGTCAACAGTGTATTTCATTGCTGGCAAAATGTCCGCCACTCCCTGGAAAAGAGGGATGGCGAATAGGTTCATGAAGCTCAACTGGGCCTTAGACAGCGAGATCAGGTCCTTCTTCGGAGGCGACAGGAGAGACGACGTGATTTCTAGTTCGCTCTCCATGGAAGCCTGTCGAGAGAACTCATCCGAAAGAATGTACATCCACTTCAGTGCGGTTTCGTGCTTCCTTGCCTATAAGCCATTGGGTTAGTAGTCGAACTTAAACATGAGAAACTGTGAACTACTGACCACATTGCTTATATCTGCACACTTGATCAGAAGCGAGCAAACGAGAGCTTTCTGCTCCTCTTGCATGCGGCCATTCCAACCATCAGTTGTGTTGTCAACGTCCAGTTTGTCTTGGGTGTCTCCGAGCCTTTTCATGTAATCGAAGTGCAAGCCCATGTCCGTAGCAAGGATGGAGCTGATCATAAGGTGTCGCATCTTCGTATCTTCGAAAGCGCTGGGCCAATACCGACGAAGGATCTGTGAGTAGGCGGCGCAATGGAACGACTCGAGCACTGATCGGTCATTGTACAACTGTGCCAGCGGGGCATTAAGAGTGACCAAAAATCCGTTGTTGACACCGGGGTGGCCGACATCATGTCCTATTGCCGTAATCAAAAGCGTCAAGCCGTCGAATGGATGGAGCAGTTTTGCCATGGGGGAGCTCTGCGGTGGATCTTGATCCGCCGAAGGATCGGCGGGATATGGCGCAAGAATACCAACACGAACCAGGAAGTGAAATGTAGCCTGTAGAACATCGACGACATGGCGGAAGTTGTGATAAGGGACAAAGTTGTTGTATGCAGCTCGGCAAGCGACCAGGAAGCTTATGAGCTGGTCTAGTCATACCGTTAGCAGCCGTCCGCACATGGCTTATGTAGGCGCAATGTACTCACCTGTGGGTATCCGCCAGCGATCCAACTCGGGCATTGTCAAGGCATGTTTGAACATCACCATGGCCGCAACAAGGAGCTCGTCATCTGTGAAACTGTGCGCGCAAAAGTGCCACTGACCAACAGCGGCAGCGACAGCAGCTTGGCGATCGGTGGAAACGGCAATGCTCACGTTGGAGATCCGATCGTCGTCAGAATCCGCGCCTGACCGGCAAATGCCCCTCATGAGACCAGACACCATGGCTTCCCTGAGGTAGGAAAATGGTTTCTCCTCATTCACCCCAACCCATGACCGTTTTCTGCCGCGGCGTACTTCGAGCATTTCCTGCTGCTCACGGGCCGCATCCTTATGTGCCCGGTAAGCGTGGATCTCTAGACTCGTGATGCATTTGAGGTGTAGAGGACTGATGATGACATCCACGGCTCCTAGGTCTAAGCACCGAATGATCAGGCGTCGGTCCACTGACGCCGAAGACTTGGGTTTCGCATCGTCGCTGGCCGGATTCGTTGCGCTACCATCCTCGGTAGGCGAGAAGCTCACGATGGGTATCGGTACGATCAGCTTTGATAAGCTACGCAGATGCGACTCGGTCATGATCCTTTGCAGCAATTTGAGCCCGTAAACATCCTCCTCAGGAGTGTGAATGTTGATGTCGGCAGTAGTCGGGCGAGAGTGCGGCGATGGTGATCTAGACCGGGACCGAATTCTGGGTAGCCGCTCATCGTGGGGCACATCAATGAGAACCAGAGTTGGTGTCAGGTCCATCATGGACTCGTCCGAAAGCTGGAAGAGGGTAGATATGCAGGCCGAGCCTGAGGAACAAAGATAGACTAAACATATAATTAGTACACGACGCCACGAGTGTATGGGATTCAGTCCGAGCCTACCTTCTCCGAAGGTGTCCAGTAGCAAGTCTGCATCTTTCTGAATATCGTCATCTTCCGGCACGACGGCGTCGGTAGCGTCTAGTGACTGATCATTCTGCGTATTAGGTCGGATAAGCCTGTCCTGGCGAACCTGGCGGTTCACGTAGACGACATGGCAAGTGGCATTGTCCATCATGGCTTTAGGGAGCAACCAGTCTCGCGACCGGAGCGCTCTGGCCACAAGGGCAAAAAAGAACTACGAGCGTGACGATGCGATTGATCAAAGTTGCAATTCTTGAGCTTTCGCAGCGGGACAAGTCGAGGACGGCGACCCAGTCCTGTCGAGAAGCAGCACGGCGGCGCAACGCCTTGAATGTCCAGATAGATGGGCAATGTGCGACAAAGGATTCAAAGAAGCAGGCTTCGTGATAAAGTCGTCGGGATTGGAAGGCAAGTTGTGTCGACTAGGAGTCTCATGAATGGTATTTCACCAGACGAAGCAGCGGTAGCGCGGTGGTTCCGACGGTCACCAGAATTGGCATTGATGGTAGTCGCACGAAATCGGATTGGCCGAGATCATGGACGTGATATTTGTTCCTAAAGTCGAGGCGTGTATGGATCCTTTTGGGTTTTTGTGTGAGTAGGGGCGATCGGGAGAGGGGGGATTTGTCGTTTCGCAGTTGCGGGTACCGTCGCGCGGAAAGTTCGCATGTACTCGAGGCGAAGGGTGGAGGCTTCGGTATGCTGGCGCTGGTGATAGCGAGCGAAGTCTTTTTGGTCAGTCTGGCATAGGAGGAGGATGAGAGGAGGAAAGAAGTGCAGAATTGGGCGACAGAGAAGCGGAGCACAAGAGGGAAGCGACGACAAGTGGACGTGATATCATGAAGGGTAGGCTACGTACAACAAGGGCTGGGACGAACGGGCGTGAAGTGGGAAGAAAGGAAAGAGGGCGACTGGGCGGCCAGCTGGGACGGGGAGGATTGGAGTTTGGGTCCTTGGAGGACTGGGACTTGGACTGGGACTGGGAGGAGTACCAAAGTACAATGAACCGGGTCGAGTACGAAATTGTTAAGCAACGCAAGGGGGGGTGAGTGGATGTACCGGGTGCGAAAGAGGGCCTCGAGTGAGTGGGAGACAGACAGCCCAGACGGGGATGGGAGTAGAGACAACGGGAGAGACGAGAGAGACAGCCCCAGGCTCTGCGCTGAGTGGTGGTTGCAGTTGCGGTTGCGGGTGCGGGTGTGGTGCAGGTTGCAGCAAAGCAGCCCCGGGCAAGGTAACTACCTGGTAACAGCGGCAGCAGCAGGAGCACACTGCAGCAAGCAACAGGAGCAGGCACTGGGAATGTGTGGTGTGCATGTGAGGTGTGGAGGGTGTGTGGGTTGGGTGGGTAGGTGGGCAGAAAAGGACACCATAGGCGTACGCACCACGCAGTAGGTACTCCGTACTTCCACTGGATGGGTGCGTACCCCCAAATGGCCCCTACAACTTGCTGCTTGCGAAAGAGAGAAAAAAAAAAGTGCCAAGATCAAGAAGGCCAGGTAAAGTAAGAAGGTAGGCACCTTAGCGAGTACAAGGCACCTTTGCCTCTGCCTTTCCTCTTCCAGCTCACCTTACCTCAGGGCACCTCGCAGTCACCATGGATTGTAATAACTGCCATCCATCTCTGAGCAACGGCAGGGTACCTAAGAGACCAGCTCACGAGGCCTAAGTTTACCATGAGTTGGGAGGTCATTGTAACGACTACAGATTGTAGGTTTCCAGTTTCCCAATGGGCCGTGCCTGCTCTCCCGTCACACTATCTGCCTAACATACCTACCTACCTTAGGTACCCAGGTTTTGGTGACAGAACGGTATTGCAAGTAGGTTTTACATACTTTGCCTAACAAAGCAAGGCGGGACAGAACAAGAAACAGAACTCGAAGCTCTCCAAACTGTGGAAAAGCTAGAGGAGTGTAACTTGACTCCGGGCTAGCATGGTGACATCCACTCATCACAGAGTCTTTTCTTCTTGTGCCCTGAAGTGGCGACGTAAAGTTTGAGCGAATGAGTAAGTGAGGTGGGGGAGGCGACTGAGTCCTCGGCACTAAGAGTGGTTATGGTGTTGGCGCCTTTTTATTTCTCTAGTCCAGGTTCTGGAGAATGGGGGCTCCTTTTTCGTCATCTTCTCTTTGCCGGCAGTCTATTTACCAGGCCACGCAGGCGTACCTAGGAACATGAAATATCAAGTCATAAAAAAAAATAAAAAATAAAAAAAAAAGCCCCCCGGTCCGGTGTCAGTGAGATTTTTCCTGGAGAAGCAAACGGACTAGCCAAAAGAAACGAGGCGAGAAACAGGTGAGGAAATTGCGAATGCGGTCCAGATTGACAGAGGAACAGAGAGAACGCCTACCTAAGATGGTGGCGGTGGTGATAAGCAATCCAATGACAGGCAGCTGGGACTCGGAGGTGTATGAAAGGTGTGAATCCGGTGAGGTGCATGGTGCAAGTTCATATGGGTTGTGTGTGTAGTACACCGTATACCTGAAGCCTTCCATTAGGGAAGGAATGGAAGCCATGGTAGGTGTCGGTTCCTTCCTTCCCACAAGGTACGAATATCTCACACTGTAACTTGCACTACTACGTAGAGAACGAGGTCACTTCGAATCAGGTCTGGCGTGGTCTCGTCTACTTTAGCGTAAGTTGCGCCTGTCTCCCAAAGCCAAGGACTGACCGGCGCTGCAAACTTGAGAGGAATGGATGGAAGCAGAAAAAAGCGCCAAAAAGCATGCCGGGAACCCATATGACAACCCAGCCATCTGCCCGAGGTGTTACTCTTTCTCCCAGAATAGGTACAGAAGAATGGAAAGAGAAGGAAATATGTCCAGTCGAAGCTCCAAGAGGTGATTGACCCGGTAACGCCGGAGTGGGAGAGGTGAAGATAGAGACATCTCCAGCCCAAATAGCTCAGCTCGGACCAGACATTCCATAATTCCGTGCTGTTTTTCAATTCCGATCCTAGTTTCGTGAGTGAGAAAAGAAGGAAAGAGCCTAGGTTCACTGCGGCCTCGAGACAGGAGTACTGAATGTGACTGCAACGCCATATGAACCAGGGCACGGCTGGGCTTCCAAGCGACTTGCTTCAGACCACAGGTACCGTAGCTTGGAGTGAAGAAAGGGGCCCTTTTTTTTAGGACAAGTCTCTCTGGTGACGGTTCTGTCTCTGCACTCTTCTTCACGCCTGGGAATCTGGCGCAGATGCAATAGAAGCATTCCCTCCAGCCCAAGATTCGTCACAAACAACGGCATGCCAAGACGGGCAGCTCTAGACCCGACCCTTGTTCGTGTTGACTGTATTCTGCAAAGCATGTATCGCCGTGCCGAGCATGAAATTGTTTTGCGCAGTTACTGGACATCCACGCATTTCGACTCGGGCCAAAAGTCGACAAAAAAGCAGATCGAAAGCACGGAGCGCGAGTGAAAAATACGATGAATGCGGGCCAAGAACAAAACGGACAATTGGAGACGTATTCGACCGAGTTATCTGATACCTAGGCATTCCTGTACACTACTGAGACGCACAGAGCAAAGGTGACGAACGGCTGGCGCTCGTGCTGGACAGCCTGGTGGGCAGCTGGCAGGCCGGAAATCAGGTGCTCGTAGTGTCTGTAGGCTGTAGTAGCGCCAGGTAGGCGTAGGTCAGGGCCTGGGGTGCGAGGCAAGGCGGAAGGAGTACTTTGTCGGACTCAGAATGTCAGTGCCCGTCGGAATCAGAATGTCAGATCTGGATTCAGACAAGCCCAAGCCCCTGGCAGGCATGGGACGATGACGGAGGGGGGGGAGGATGCCTGTAAAAGGGTACCTTGTCCCGCAGTGGCTAACCAGCCTGCGCATCCATTCCAGTGGGTGGGTGCCGATGGTCATCAAACTCACGCCCTATGCTCGCTCTAGAAAACCGTGAGCGCGTCAGTTTTTTTGAACATTGAAGGAACGACTGGTGGTGATGGACTCATTCGATCCATTGATGGAGGGATACTATAATGTGGGTGGGCGAATGGATTGGTCGTGGTAAGGTAGACGTAGGTAGTTGGTGAGATTGTAGTGCGAGGCAATGCATCACTGATCGGCCGGTGCAGTTTTCGGGCTGGTGGTGCTTATCTCGTGTATGAGAGGGGGGCAGCAGGGCAGCGACGAGCAGGCAAGGGGCCAGCGGCGGGGGAAAGGGACAGGGTCCTGCATCCAGTCTTCTGGCCGCCTTCTCGAACATCGATCGAAAGTGTGGAAGCCCACGAAGCCTTCTTCGGAGCCACTTTGCCATGCAGTCGAGGGGCGCACAGGGGATGGCGACTGGAACCACTGGGAACAGGGTTTGCAGGGGAGAAGCACGTCAAAGGCAAGGGCAAGGGGGGGGCGGCGTCCGTGGAAGATGGAAGGTGGAAGGTAGTGCATCCGTACCCCGGTACCTTGACCAATCCCGTCGACTACCTCTCTGCACATAGTTGTGCCTCAGGCAGACAATCTATCTACCTCTCCAGGTCGAGGTATCGCGGTACCTCTACAGGTCGCGAGTGCCAGGCTCCCACTCTTCCCCCAAAAGTTCAGGTAAGAAGCACCCAGGTACCTAGGCAAGAAGGGAAGGGCGGGCACGAGGGGTGGAAAGAAGCACCTAGGCGTCTGCGCCGTGGCACACCGGCACCCACCTTCCCGCCCGCCGCCGTCTCTGACTGGCGCAACCATTTGCTGGATGACGCCTTGGTGGCTGCTTCCATTTGGAACCCGCCTGCGAGCTGCAAGGCGTGCCTGCCGTTCTGAGACGCGTTCCTCGACTCTCGAGACCCGACCTCAACACCCCACGACAGCATACTAATTTTCCCTTTCGACGTGCCTCGGGCAGGTGCACAATCAAGCCACCTATCTCGGTGACTAAGGTCGATCATCGGAAGGTTCCCAAGGTGACGAACCCAAGAGTCTCGCAGCCGGGTCGTGGCTTCCATTCCCCCTTGTACAACAGATGCGGTAGACGGGAGCAAAAATACCTAGGTACCTATCTTGTATGTCTCAACCCTTAACCTCAATACTCCAACCCTCAACTCAGCAACCAGGCAGACGGGTGGGTGGAATGGCCCAGGTACCTTACCTTATACACTCACGCTGGGAATGTGCGGGAATGAGCAAGCATTGAGACGTCCTCCTTCTTCCTCCTGCCCCCGTGCGGTCGCCGTGCGGGTGTCACTGTCAAACTTCAAAGCATACAGACAACCAAGCACCAAGCACCAAGCATGCAGGTAACATTTCTCAGAGGGAACCGAAAGGTTTGGTCCAGAACTACAGTCTCCAAATGCACGTCGGCTATTCGTAAGCGCTGTCTATCTTTTAGATACCTAACTCAAGGTAGCTACGGATACGGAGCACGGCATGCGATATCCCACGACATCCGACCTCCAACGCCCCCTGGTTGGACCCTGTATGAGTCTGCTGCTGTGCCAAAGGGCCGCTCAAAGAACCGTCTTGAATCTTCTTGGGGCTCTTCCGATGCGTCCCCCAATCAATCCGAATAGAATACGGAACCTCTGGCCCAGGGAAGCGAAAGCAGGATTCGACTCCATACCCACCACACTTTAGCCCACCAGCTCGGTAACTTGGGCTTGCAGTACTCCACGCACATGGCATTTTGTGGTCTCCCAGGCTGCAAACTGAGAATTCAAACTGCCTGCTATACTTCGTACAGCACAGTGCCAAAGGTACCTTGTCTTCCATGCCTTCTCGTTCCTAACCACCGCATCCAACCACTTATCAACACAAATGGCTCTCTAGGCCAGCTGGCTTGCCCAATTCCCTCTGTCTTTGGTCGATTGTCGCACTCTCTCCCGTCGTACCCCTCTCAAGTACCTGCCTATGCCTTCAAGGTAGACGCCCTCATCTCAAGTCGCCGTCATCACTTACGCTGCATGCGCTGCGTTCTGTCCGCCACAACTACTTCGGTTTTCGCTTCAATTCTGCAACCATAGATCGCCATGGCACCAGTACACACTCAAACACTCTCCATGTGCAGTTGCCCTGTGCGCTCCGCTCAATCAGCCGTTCATTGTGTTCATCGCCGTTGTTTCCCGGCCAGCTCTTCACACGAGATCTCATCCTTAGTACCCGGCGTGTGTCCGCAGGAAGATACAGATCCATCTCCCTGGCCAAAAGGGTCGTTCTTGAGAAGCTCGCGACTCGCACTGCCGATCCTCTCCCTCGTGCGAGCTGGGTCCAGCCTGTCACGCAAGGAATCCACATATTGTCCACTCCTCTCAGCACATAGCAATCATGGCAAACAAGGCTCGTAGGCCTGTGCATGCTCTTGCCCTGATCGCAGATTATTACCCACATGTCGCAATATCGCCGATGATCCATGATCCATTCCTTCTTCGTGTCTTCCAGAAGTAATGGAGAGACGGAGAAAGAACAAAAAGAAGCCTCACTCTGTATCCGTATCCATACGGCTATCGTTTTTGTTTCCCTGTGAACTCCGCATACCTGGCCGGTACGCCCGAGTTTACCTTGTCCCGCCCTGCCTGACTTCCTTGTGGCTGGCTGAGCGTTCGACCCATCCCACTTCCACACACACACACACACACACACACACCTCATGCAATACACCTACAAGATTCGACGAAGCCTACGCGCATTCTTAGATTTTTCTTCGTGACGAGCACCGTTGCCTGGCTCAGCATCAGCAACATGTTGACTCAAGAGGAGCGTTCAACATGATGCGAAGTGGCCCAACGCGGTAATCAGACGGCAGGGAATCTACCGCTTATCTCGCACGTCCGCGGACGAGCACCAAAACTGCAAGGACATTCCGTGCAACTGCGGCTGCAAACCCGCAGCTATCTGCAGTAGTCAGTCGAGGCCCTCTTTCTCAGAGCCTGCACCGCCGAGATTTGATGTTTCCACAACGGGGTACATGCTGTCAAGCGCTGTTCTCTCGCTTTCCTTTCACGGTTGGGCCTAAAAACACTTGCTCACATTTGTCCCAACTTCCAATCAAGAGTGAAGGCTTCTCATCACCACTCGGCCTCGCAATGTGCTACTGCAATCGTTCCCACAGAGATGGCCGTGGTAGGGTTGATGTCTCGCTGATGCTTCCCGGGGGATGACCGAAGCTCCCCTTCTTACCTGCACGTCGGCGAGACACCGGTATCGAGGTCTGCTTTGCAGAGAGACAATATGCTTCGTTCGAAGCCAACGTGTCACGTTTCGCTTCTGAGCCCGCCACCCACGACGCACAAAGCCTGATCGGCCCATTTGGCCTTACCCTACCCTTCTGATGATAGCAGAGTGGAAAAGGACTGTACCGTTTGCGACCAAAACAGAGGGGTCGAAAATGATACCGAATATGAAAACGATGGGCTGATGCATTTTGAGTTCTTCCCATCTTTGAGGGCAGAATCTTGACCGACACCTCCGCTGCGCTCGGTGAGTCCTGGTCCTTGGCTTGCACACGATGCTTGTGCATTTCGTCGACCTTCCTATAGAGTTATAGCCTCTCTCCTCCTTTTCCGTCTCCCTGGCCTTGAGGTCAAGCCAGTGATATTTACGGATACTATGTAGCCGTTCCGTTGTCTATCTATCCAGATCATTTCACCTACATTCTGCACCCTTGACAAATCCATGCTACTGGCTGCTTGAGTGTGCAACCAGCCAGTCGCCAAGTATTCCAGGGATTTGTTCATAGTGTGGGATGGCTTCAGCTCCTCGGCCAAAGCTCTTCGGCTTCTATGATGGTTCGCCGTGGGATGTATCTCACTGTCTGGGGCGAATAGCCTCCTGATCGTCCGCAGACAAGGCGGGCGGGTTCCTTTCACCTTTTCCCAGCCACCAGGTGCAACTTCAATCGTATCACCCCTGCAACCATGGTTCATCTCAGCTCTTGCACACTTACCAATAGAAACTCAACCCGCCCCCAAAGATGGGATCTTCCAACCCCTCCGACTCATCGCTCGCCGACGTGGTTGGTACATGTATTGAGGACAGAGCAGTCTATACTCTATAGAGAGAGAGGAGTCTGTTGCATTCATCCCCTTGCAACCCCCTCACCCTTTCTACATTAGTAGGGATACAACGGTGTCAATCCGACCACCCGACATGTTATCCCTAGACTACTTTACTTCGGCTTTTGGGGGTCCAAAGTATCCCATCGCTGTTTCGACTCTAAATGCTTCTCAATAGTTTTCCTTTAGATTCTCCTGTACGAGGTAGACACTAGGAGCACAACCTGTATTGCCTGACGGTCCTACGGTTGTGCAGAGTCATTAGACTCCTGAATCAATGACTTACATGAGTTGCCAACAAGTTGACATGACACCGGTTCCCCCGCCTGCTCAGGTGCCCGGCCGTAGATTTCACTTCCGCGACTGGGTCGGCCTCAATGCCGCGCCCGCAGCTCTGCGCCTGCGCCCGCGCCCTCCGAAAGACATCTTCTGCCGGCCGAAATGCTGCCGTCCATCTCCCGCACCTCTCACACCCACCGTTCGCGATACTGAAAGGAAAGAGGACATAACGAGAGCCAAGCATCTTGACTACCTTGCTATTTTGCAATGGTGGCAAAAGACCTGAATAAGACCCTCACTTGGACGGCTCGTGATCCCCATCAAAGCCCCCGTCTTACACTTCTCTTCCGTGAATGGTCGCCTTCGCCCGATGCTTGATAGTACCGTCCAATTTGACCAGGTCAGTACTCACGACTATGAGTTTCGGGGCTAGCTTCTCACCCAGCATCGAATTCCCTTCTGTCCCCTTACTGGACACTACTCCGGCGCATCGCACCATCCTGAGAACGCGCGCGCCTTGTTCCTGCACGCTGATCACCATCCGCTGCATACCGCTGATAGGGCAGGCTGATATCGCCATCGCCCATGCTAATTTTGATAGAAGAGTCACCCATACAGAATGCTTACCTCCTCCCCAGACGGGCCGGTCTAAGTCACCGTTATCCCACCCTCGCGTGCCTCGGTGTTCACAGCTGGTCGCGTGGCCCCCCAAAGGGAACTTGCCCGAATGGACAGGTGCAAAAGGTATGGTTGTCAACATACTTTAGGTATTAGTGTCAGGTCTTGCGGTTGCGGTTATGCTTTTCAAACCTGACAGAGCGACATGAGCCTTGCAGGTTCAGCGAACAGATGCCGAGGTCATTATAGGACCCTCAGAACCGATTAGTATTCGAGGAAAATATCCCGTGCTGACGGTTCATCAACCCGTAGTCTCGTTTCAGCCCTGCCTGTCCACACTTCCCGTAAAGATACACTGACAGCGTCTGGGGCCATCCAGGATCCCTGACAACTGAGCTTGCCTACATCTTAACCACGAACATCCCGTGGTTTCGCACCCGGGGTCTTGTCCGAGGCCACTGCCGGCGACGACGAATCAGTCCTGTCACGTAAGAGAAATCTTCCAGACTTTGTTGAGATGCCTGTCTCTTCCTAGTCCTTTACTCGAAAGAAGCGGGCTTCAAAAGAAGGCCTGTTCGATTGATTATGCTTGTAAAGTGGTCTATCGTCCGTGCTTCGGTCCAAGCAGAGAGAAAAGTACTGCAAAGCTGAACGAAGTCCCGTCCCTCAATTAGAAAACCGCCTTAATAAGATCGCCCTAACTATGGGTGGCACATCCGATCAAACGTCTCATGCTCGCATGCTCCCTTTTTTTTTTTTTTTTTTTCATTCCCCTCCTTCACTTTTTCTGCCCACTACTGCACTTACCTCTTGTCTTTACATTAGCTTGTTCGTCAAAGGTATTGAGGAAAGGGTCAAATGATGTCGGAACCCGGGTTCCTCGGATTCGGGTGGCCTAATACTAGGTATGCCAGCAGCACCTGGCGCGTTGCACGCAAGATGCGAGGTACAGAACTGTCTGGCCCAACCTCACTGTTGCTCATAGCCGCCCGCGCAAGGATTCCACATCACGACGCGACGGATTACTTCTTGTCCCAAAGGTATAGGTAGATCTATACATGGTAGACTCAAAAAAGGGTTCCCACGGCCCCTCCGAAAAGAGGTTTCGGGACCTGTTCGTTTGAGAAGAACTGGGGGGTTCACGGTGCGGATTCCGAGAAAAAGAGAGGAAGGGGGCCTTGCTCTCAAACCCCTGATCTCTTCTCCATCACTCTCTTTTCCCCTTCGGTTCCATGACCCCATCTGTCCCCCACGCCCCTCCTTCTTAAGTTCTTCCCGTCCTTCGGGGGATCGGTTAGTACACAGTAGTTCAGATAAATCTCTGTAGGCGAGAACTCGGTCTTGGATAGATCGACTGTGCTAGGATCCCTTTTTTTGTTTTTCCCTTCCTTTCACATACGGACGGGAGGCGCGGGGGTTATGGAAAAAGAAGGTCGTCGGTGCCGCGGGGTGGTTCGTGTTCGTCGCCCCAAGTTTGCTTGTTGGTTTGTTGGGTGTTTTTTTGGTAGGTACAGTACTTTAGTCAACATGGTGTAAGCATGAACGGGTGTGATCAGTGCTCGAGATCTAGAAGCACTCGTGAGACGCTGGACAATGAGAGAACTAGTGGGAGAAATTTTCTCCTTTTCGCTTTGCAACTTGCTTTTCTTCACCACCCCACGTGTGCGATGGCCCCCCCGCTACGTTGGTGGCCTAGTTTGCGTCCCGCAAACATGTTGTCGAGACGAGTGCTCACCGGAGTATTCACACCGGAAAAGCGCATGAGTGAGTGCTTTGCTTCATGGTGGGCTAGATCCGCTCGATGATCTGAGTGTCTTGTTTTTCTGTTTGAGTGCTCTCGTTACATCTTATCGTCTATCGCGCCGGTAGCCGGTAGAGGTAGACGGTGAGGGTTGAGTTTTGATAAACAGTCGAAGAAGCCGGGCCGACTTTTGCGGTGGTTTGGGCTCTGTCGTACAAAAGCGTTGATGTAACGGCGATGCCGCATTTCGTCGTTTGACCCTTTGAGGATGGATGATGTGTTGTAAGAGTGATTCAGGGGATGTTTGTTATTAATGGACTCTGAATGCCCGGGCAATCGTGGCCGGTGACTTTCCGGACCAGTTGTAATGCGACTGATATGAGGCTTTCGATGGTAGACGAGGTAAAACTTGCCAGCATATGCCCCTTCAGAAGCTATCGCGGACGCCGCGCTTGAAGCCGTCTTCCGTTGGCGACGACGTTACATGTATGAACGACTTATGGTCGGCCAGAGCCCTGCTATCCAGCCATCGATCATCGGTCTCTGGGCAAGATTTCGTGGGAAGACTGCAGTCTTAAAAGAGAACATAGGTGGTGTCGAGAAGCTTCCCTCATTATGATTAGCAGTAACGTTATAGATTATCATGCACAAAGAATGGATTATCCTTCCTCCCTCGTTCGCCCTGTCGTCAGAGATTCCATGAAGCGAGGGCAGGCGTACTCAAAAGAAAAGAACGTAGATGTTGAGTGAATGGTGATTACACACGTGGCAACGGGTCAGAATCACGTAGAAAAGGAACACAAACACGGGAGAAATGAACTCTCGCTCGAATCTAAACTCTATTATCTCTCACACATGAGTTGGAGGGCATTGTCTTCGGACCAGCTCCACAGGACCGTCTGAGATTCTCCAGCTTGCCATATTGTATACGGAACAAACAACAAATACATGACTCTACTAAAGTGAAGCAGGGCGTAGAGCTAACTACTGCTCTTCGTTCCACGTGTAATATGGGTTGAACACGCTGCAGGTAATGGAGGGAGTCTGGAAATTTGGTTCTAGGTGGCAAGATGCAATAGGCCGACACTGTGGGTGTTCAACACCTGAAGTCCTGGAGATCCTTGGCTTCCGTAGATGGGAAGTGTCTAATGATTTACAGTCCCGGACAGGAACTTTGCGACCATGTGTAATCTAGAGAGACGAGCGAAGGCCAGCAAAGTCTTGGACATTATCCTGGTATCAAATTGGTCAAGTCTAATCCCATCTCAGAGCGAGCTTGAGTCGAGGAGTTGTTCTCAGTACGGAAGCTTCTCCATCGAACAATACTTTCCAGCCAGCAGTGAGACTCTTAAGTTCGGTTTGAACAGCAGCTGAAATTCTAAAAGTATCATTCCTTTTGGGACGACCCTAAGCTCGTCTGGCAGGAGGGTTCGAAGAGGAGGGTGCAATCGCGGCCTGATCATGGGCTGTATGGATATATGTTAACACAGCGAGCATTAAAAAAGCTTAACCTTCACTTTTATCCAGGTATTCTTATACATACCGTATTTTCTGGGTGGCTGGGGATGAATTCCAAATAGTTCCCATAGTACTCACTGCCTCTGGGCGTACTTGAGGGAATACCAGGCATGAGACAGCTATGTCCGGGTCAGCTTCAAAGCGGCGTGTCAATGATAATTTTCGGCGTATTCACTACGTCTCTTCCTTGTTCTATCAGCTACAGACCCTGTCAATACTAACTAGGTGGATTGAAGTATTTACCCGCTCAACGCTGGACTGCAATAATTGATAGCTGATCGCTATCTCAATGTAAATGAGTTTGTTACTATATCAGAGGAACGTTACGGGCTGATATGCCCACATCAACAGTCAACAAAATGATTCCAATGTCTTGCTTGATATTCGGGAGACTCTTGAGGGGTATCCGGTCTCCATGGCAGCATAACTTCTTCACTCCTCCACTCCTCATAAAAGTCAAAGATATGGATGCGTCTCAACTATTTTCACGCTGCATGACGACATTACCTACAGGTAGATTCTAGTATCCTAGTATTCTACACAATGCCAGAATGAAGACAGTCTCGGGAGCGGAAGCCTGAGATTCCTGTCAGATCAGGAAGCCGGAGAACCTATGTGGTCATCCTGAAGCACTAGAAGTGCGCCTGGCAATCACTGCTAACCTACCGGCACCTGCCGCCTCGCACCTTCCCACGTGTACGTCCCTCTGCCCTCGAGGTGGTTGTCCGGGTGACGTACCTACCTACTTAAGTGGTCTGATTACCCTTCCTGTCACCAGCACAGCAGCGCCCGTCTAGGTCGAGGAGGTCAGGTCAAGCTGTGTGCGAGGTGGTCGAGTGGTCAAATAAACAAACACTTTAATAAAGTCAAAGTCTGGGTTTACTGAGGGGCGCGCTGTTCGAATCTGGGCAGGGGCGTGAATTGTAAGGTCAGTCATCACTATCCCTTCCTCCTTTCTTTTTTGGCGGTCTGCAGAGTTGTTCGTGTGTGTTTTGATACTCTCGATGTCCATTGCTGTATGACGATGGCGATGAGACTTCAACACACACCTTGAAACGAGTATAACGGCCAGCGAAACAGGGGTCGCATAACTTGAGGTTTGCGGCATCACTCCTTCTACTCAGGAAGATCTTGACGCTCGCCCGCAGGTTCGTGACTAAAGAGCTGACGGTGGTGCTTTGTTCCTGGCTGCTATATCTTTTGGGGGCTTAACACACCCTTGATTTCACCAACTCGGGACGTCGCGCCTCATGTACCGAGAAAGTGCCCTGAGAAGATTACTGCCTTCGACTTTTGCATATTGACTTCTTTGGACAATGAAAACGAATGGTCGTCTTTGGCAACAAGGGACAAGAGCGGATGTCCCTGACCGAACGATCTGGCAGGGAATCGTATATTCAAGTAAGCTGTGGTACTCCAGGATGGCTGAAGTAGAATGAGACGAGTACGGGTTGATATTCTCGACTTATAGATAGGAAATACCCCTCGTCGGTTTGATGATTCAGTTGGGCACATATGAGAGCCTGGGCTCAGACAGATTCAGGTGAGGAATATGAGAGTTTCTAACTCTGAAAATCAAAAGGGGGGAAATCCCGAGCATGGGTTGAGTGGTAATTAAGTGCTTCGGGTCTCAAAATCACTGCGAGCGGCTGTCCCTGATAAGCTGTTAGCCAAACTCTAGTCCTAGAGGAAGCGAGCTATCATTGAGTTTAACACCTTGAGTAAAATGAGGTAATTATACCAAAGGGTGGGTGTATATGATGTTCAACGATCGTAGGGAAAATTTGACGCTTCAAATGTGTTTGAGTCAAATCTATCTCTAATATTCGATGACTCTAAATTTACTTATGGCCACGGATATCAAAGTACAGTAAGCCAATATCCATCAAGGGAACCCGGGTTCCAGTGCCTAGAGAATACCCGAGTCCGGTAAGTGACACGAACTTAGACTTCCGGCACAATGGCAGCTGACTTCGCTTTCCGGTCGACGGAATCGCGAGCGATCGAATCCGCTGCGTCCCTATCACCCGCCTCAGCGGCCTCAATAATAGTAGCTCTGAACTGCTCTCTCTTGGGCCTACATGAATCGTTAGAAGCTGACTCAAGTATCGAACAGGTGGGTGAACATACTCGAGATGCTTTGCATCAATGTAACGAAGTACACACGTCATGATAATGACGAGGACACCAATGGCAATAGCTGACTGCCAGGCGTACTTGTCTGTTGATGGTCAGAGCCATGGCAGTTGTGCGTTTGGGCCTTAGACTTACAATACGGTGCCTGAGTTGCTGGCCATACCAGAACCTGCGACCAAGCGGAGATGGCGTAGTATCCCGCGATGGCGACTCCGACGATAAGAGTCCGCGCCTCGGGGTCATGGGGTAGAATATCGGCCAGCCATGCGAAGATGAGAGGCGCGGTTCCCATTGCCGTGAAGAGGATGAAGTTGGACGCGTAGGCTGTGGCGAGCGGTGTCGTAGTTGGGTGTGAGGACCAGACGCTCATCGCGATACAGCATGCAATGCCAATTACAGCTGTACAAGTTGTCAGAATGGACTTGTCTTAGTAGAGGGGGGTGTGAGGTGATGCTTACCTTGAACAACGATGAGAGTCCATCGTGTCATGAACAAGTCCGACAAGATTGCCCAGATCCAGACTGTATTTCATGTCAGTCTCGGCTCTAGCCACAAGTTCCAAAAGATTTCAGACGTACCGAAAACCACATTAATCGCACTTCCACCAATGGGAATGGCGTTCACTTCGGACGTCGACCACCTGGGGGTTCCATCCGGATTCTTCAAGGCCTTCAGGAACAGGCCGAAGTAGTTATTGCCATACGACAAGAGGACAGTCGCAATGTACAGAACGGGTACGAAATAGATTACCCAACTCTTAAATGCACGCCTGTTCCAGTTAGCTCTCTGTCACTGGTAGGAAAGAAGGATCGGGTATCATCGAACCTGGCAGCGGCCCATGTCATCTTTTTGGGCTCTGCTTTACCATGACGCTCCAACCGCTCCATAGCAAGCTCTGCGTGCCCCTTCTTGAACCAAAACGCGCGGGGGTTGGGGTTGTTAGGTGTATCTGGAAGAAGGAAGAAGCCCGCAGCGCCGACGCACACAGTCATGATGGCATTCACGACAAAAAGCCAGCGCCAGCCGGCCATGCCGTGTAGCCCATGCATGGAGCTTCTAATGGCAACTTGCAGCGCACCCGACATCATGGAGCCCACCGCCTGACACGAGTGATAGAATCCCATGCGCTTGGCCAACTCGGACGGGGTGTACCAGTGCATCAGTAGCGTCATCATGCCGGGCCACGCACTGCTCTCGCAGAGGCCGAGCAGAACGCGGAGCGCGTAGACTTGTTGCGCGTTTTTGGTGAGGGCGATCATGCCTGTGATGATGCCCCATAGGACCTCGAGGCCAGAGAGCCAGTAGCTCGGTCGCACGTAAGTCAGGATGATTTGGGAGGGAATAAGCATGATGCAGTAGGCAACGTTGAAGTACGTTGTGAAGCTGAGATCAGAGGTCGGTTGGCGTTGACGGTCCTGAAAAAGTTGCTCTTGAGGGCTGGACGTACTAGTTGAGCTCATTGCCGTAGAGGTTGAGGTCTTCTTTCATGCCAGAAACGTATGCGTTGCTGATGTTCGTCTGGTCAAGGTCTTGACACCAACGTTAACCAGACCGTCCCTTACCGAGGAACTCGAGCTGTTCTACGACTTACATTTGATGACTAGAGAAATGAATTAGCTTATGTAGCACACATGGAGGATCCTCGTAATTGTTCACCCTGTGAAATGCAACCGAACGTCATCAAGAATATGTCCAGTCTCCTAACGAGCTTCCTCTCCTCTGGCGTTCGCTCATGGCGTGCCGCGAAGGCAAGGCTGCCGAAGATCATATTGTCGATTGGCTGTTTAAAGATTTCCAGGGTCTTTGAACGAGGGGCATCACGAGGAAGAACACCGTCGCATGACGGCTGGCGCAATGTTCTCCCGGCAGGTCTATATAAGGCGCGGATCGTCACATCTCTCTCTGCTCTGCCCAACGGAATGTGTTTTCCAGATAAGACAGGGAAGGTTTCCCGGCACTATATTACCCCATGTTTTGTCAAAGCTGTCTATCTCACGGTCAAAACCCCGACCCGGCTCAAGTTGCAGAAGTTCCGTTATCACCTGATAGGCAGACGTTGCAGCGTTGCTGGGACCTGGAGATAGGTTCGGGAAAGAGGGGGAGGGATGCCGGTGCACAAACGCGGGCCGAACTCTTATTGGAGCGGTCTTGGCCGCCCGATGAGCGGCGGGTCCTCCGACGACCGCAGATACCCCGGGGCTGGTAAGCTGATAAGCAGTCACCCAACTTTGCCTCTTGTTACCTGAATTGCATCTCTTAATTTCTTCCTTATTGTACTTTGCCGGTCTGCGGTGGACAAGTACCATCTAGAGAGACAAATACCTAAGGCAACGACTTCAGTCCTCACGTAATATGTGCTGTGATCGGTCTCCAAGGTTTCCAAGCTCTTGTCCCAAAGTAGATCGACCACTGTGATAATATCACAAAAGAACACGGCATGTGTGCGCGTCTCCTTGCAGTAGCTGATGCATCCGGTTGCCATATTCAGTTCGAGACATGAAGTGGGTTGAGAGGTTGTGGTCCTATCGCTGCGGGAGCGGAGCGATGTTCGCCGCCAGAATATCGGAAGCACCTCCGACTTCGTCCCCACCTGCATGTACCCGACAAATTACCACAGACAACACCTACCTCTCAGATTTGAGCAAAGATTGAATCATGGCTATCGCCCGGCTTATCTCGCCCAAGAGGATCAACTCGCGGACATATTGCACCGGTTTTACACAGCCGAAGGCAGGCTTGGAAGAGAGCGTCTAACCATCAGCGGAGGCTGTCCGCTCATGAAGAACTTATCATAATAAGGCGAGCTGTTGCGTTTACGAGTATCGACATATGCTCGGCAAATTCAACCAAGCTTACTTGTTCTCGAGAGGGTCAACTCATGATGACTGGTCTTCCTATTCTTGATCCCTGTATCTCGTTCTGGCAACAGACGACAAGATCATATCCTTACCTCAACCACAACGATGAGGCTCCCGTACCGAAAACCGCGAGATATGTCATTATTGGCTCAGGAATCTCTGGCGCATTAACGGCCTTTAAGCTGGTCGAGGGCGGTGTAACAGCATCAGGCATTGTCATACTCGAAGCAAGGGAAGCAGCTAGCGGTGCCAGCTCTCGCAATGCAGGACATATTCGACCAGACGCCTTTCGCGGTTTCACGGTCTACAAATCATTACACGGCGAGGAGCAGGCCTTGAAGATCATCGCCAACGAGAGGACCGTGTTCCTTGCAGTCGATGACTTCGCGAAGAAGCACAACGTCCCATTCGATTTTGTCCCGACAACCACCTTTGATGTTTGCCTGACTCAGGAATTTGCAGACCATAATGTCAAGAGCTTCGAGGCATACCGGAGCGCTGGCGGCGACGTTGCTCACATCAAGTTCTACCCTGCCGAGGAAGCTCGAGAAAAAACAAGCGTCCCGCAAGCTCTATGCGCATACGAATGGCCGGCAGGTTCTAGCCATCCTGCCAAACTAGCCCAGTGGCTCCTGGCCCAATGTATCAGTAAAGGCGTGCAGTTCCTGACCCATTGCCCAGCAACCTCGGTGACACCATCATCATCTGGCGTAGAGCAGATTGCTTGGGATGTCAAAACACCGCGAGGTACTGTAACAGCGCCAACAGTTATTCACTGCACCAATGCCTTCGTACCGCACTTGCTGCCACAGCTATCGTCCCTCGTTACACCAGAGCGCGCGCAGGCCCATGCTTTCGTACCGCCTGCGGCTCTCACCGGCAACAAGGTGCTGCAGAGCACCATCTCTCTGCGTAGGGGCCTGCGTTGGTTCTACTCGGTCAATCAACGCCGTTCAGACGGCGTCATCATCCTCGGGTCCGCCTCGGCAAGCCCCAAAGTCAGTCAAGCGGCGTATGTGGAAAGACAGACAGCCGACGACAGCGAGTATAGCGCGGAGATTCGCGATGATGCCGTTGCCAACTTCCAAGACTGTCTACCAGAGTGCAGGCCAGAGAAGTTGCGCCACGGCGAGGGCTGCAGCACACATGGACGGGTATCATTGGCATGACGCCCGACTTGGTACCCTTTATCGGGAGGGTTGATGGCTCCCCAGGTCAATGGGTGTGTGCCGGTTTCAATGGACATGGTGAGTGATCAGTCGTTCCTGCAGACTGCCCAGTTCCTGACTTGATGGTTTCATAGGGATGGCGAGAATCTTTACGTGTGCGTCAGGCCTTGCAAAAATGATTTTAGGTGGAACATGGCGGGATACCGAGTTGCCAGAGTGTTTTGAGATGACCTCGGACAGACTTCAAAGGTTGCGAGAACAACAGCCAAAGCAAGCGTCGAAGATATGAAAATCGCAAGATATGAAGAGAAAAGTCAAAGTTAGCTTAGTGGTCAGAATCAGAACCGTGACGTCAAAGCAGTGTACATTCTTCGAGGAAGGTTCAAAGAGTCTCAACTAAGGTACCTTACCTTCGGTTTATACGTTTGTACTCGAGGAAGTTGAGGCGAGCATGGCGGGGTCCCATCGGATATGTGCACGGACCAGGCTAGTGATGCGGGCGGTGTGACCGCGCATTTGCATGTACCACGGCAGAATACCTGAATTTTGGTTCTTTCCAACTTTTGCGCACCGAAGCCCAACCTGACTTCATCATACTACTCTTGACTCCCGACACAGCCCAAAAGCACGTTCCTTGGACTCTAACATTCGTTGAACAATTAGAAGTGCCACATTATATCCATCTGTATCCCAACTAATCTTAGCCAACTCCGATTCAGATTGCAACAATGCCGCCGAGCACCAACATGGTCCCCGAAACACCTCCGGGTAGAGGTATCTCCTCTCGCCTGTTGACAATGAAGTTTATGCAGAGAGCTGCTGCATCGGACGCTACACCGGAACCTTCTCCAGAAGAGCCCTCATCTAAGCGGCGCAAGTTCCAAAACTCGCCCCTCACCGGCGACTTTCATTCCTTTGATCAGACGGCCGTTCAGGCGGCTCTGAAGCAACAAGAAGCTAAGCGCTTGTCGGCATTGGAAGCGTCTAGAGTAGAGCTTGCAGACACGCACTGGGTTCTTGATGGTGCTTGGGACAAGTCTACCGAAACAGAGAATGCGCCGCCAAACATCGTCTATATAGGATACGCGGATATCGATATTGCCGATGGAGAGGAGGAAGCCACCGCCACTGCCACTGCACAGGTTGGGAGGATGAAAATTGAAAGCAACAAAAAGAAGGCTACCAAGGTAATGCCAAAACCATGAGTCTTGCAATAACCTAGCTAACTCATGTCAGAATGCCAAGAAGGAGACACCCAAAAAGACGAAGCCCCAGTCGAGCGACTCCGATGGCTCTACCGAATCCGATGACTCCAGTGATGGATCCAGTGACGAAGATGAAGCCTCCTCCTCAAGCGACGAAGAGGCTTCAATGAAAACACCTCCGAAAGCCGTGAAAGGCCTCGCGTCTGGCGGCCAGGGTCGGACAAGGGTCAATCTCCAAGCGAAGAAATCAAGCGAGTCTATGAAGGCCAAGGAATTCCGGGAGAAGAGAATGAAGAAGGAAGTCAAGCTGAACAAGCTGGCATCTATCTCCGGCGGTGCTACAGGCGGCTTCTCCGGAGCAGGAAAACCGAACGCGCCCTTCAACTGCCACAACTGCAACAAGCCGGGGCACAGGGCCGCCGACTGCCCACAGCGACAAGGAGGCAAGCGGAAGTCGTTTGATAGATCACGATGAACCTCTGTCTGACCAAGCGTGCTTTTTCATTTACAAGATACCCCTCATGCCCGGATTTGGCTTGCTTACCGGTTCTTCTATTTCTGCTTTGCGAAGTGGGAGCGAGATTCTTGTCGGCCTCACGGCAGGCTCCCGCCTTGCGAGAGATCACGGAGGAAATAGGTTATGGGATTGACGAAAGAATCCTGCTGAGCGGATATTCGATCAACACAACACGTAGTTACGTACTGCCTCCCTCGCCGGGCTACGAAAGCCCGGAATGGGCCGGCAACCTTAATGAAAAAGAAATGACCACCAACCCCATCTTCTGTGTCGCCGCGCATGCGATATGGCCGAACAATGGCCTGGATATCGACGGACTGACTCGGTCTGGTCAAGCTACATGTGATGAGCTCCAGACGCAGATGAACTCGAATGATAGACGGCATGAGCTGGCTCCAGAGCCAGGTACCAGGCTATACACAGCTGCCTTGCCGTCTGAACATAAACAAGAAGTCAAGGGCCGCGGAACAAGCGCGTTTGCCCGGCTTGGGACACAATATGCTCCCTTCATTAATCATCTTTTTGGGGATGGCAGCCGAGCGAAACATCCACAACTGCCGATGATCAGACTAACAGAAACCCTGTCGACACGTTTCCCCTACATCTCGATGAGAATCTCATGCATCGGCCTACCTTTCGTCTCTTAGCCTCCTCGGACACGGGAAAGAAGCCCGCATGTGAAATGTCGATCTCCTGCGTAGTTCAGGCCGGCTCGCTCAAAACGGCACCACGGAAACTCTGGGGGTTACGAGCCGGCGCCGCGGGAAACTCGAACTTTGGATGGTGGGGTGACAAGCTTTCGCCCGCAAAAACTCACCATCTCTTCTATACCGAATCTCATGTACTGAGGGATCGTAGGATCGTATCATCCTCGCATAAGCAAGCTTATATCTGCTGCATAGGGTTCCGCAAGGATAGGCCGCTGGCGACCCAGTCATAGCTGCGACTCTCGCCTTGATTGTCATTACCGCATTATGGACGCGATGATTGTCGCAAAAGTCAACGCTCGAGTCCCTAGGAGCCAATTTCGTAACGTTGGTATCGAGTGGTAATACTCATCGCAAAGTATGGTAAACACCGTCGCGGCATATGGACAATCATAGCTTGAACATGTACATATACTTCATGTTAAACCGATGCAAAAGATCTTGATCGGCAAATTAACTCGATGGTCAAGTGCCACTAGAACGGCGGGAAACCTTAGTACAGATTGCAATTCAAATTGCAGTTCATGACCGTTATCATAGCCAGGGCTAGAAACTCGGCCTCTATGGGGGTGCCACTTTGAAAGGGACGATGGCAAGAGGAGGGAGGTTCCTTTTGGCCCGATTTCGTTCAATTTTGACTTGACGCAGAACGCCCGGACGCAGTCGCTTGTCAACCGACCGCTTTGCCTATAGCACCGGCCGTAGCTCTCCGTACTTTGAACTACGTACCTCGAATTGGCTCTTCTCGAGGTTTCTCAAACTCGGTCGTCAACTGTTCACCTTTGCGAAACCAAGCTCGGGTCGCGATCGTCATGACAGGCCGGGCTTAGACGGCGAGGAGAGGATGGTCATGTTAGTCCAACATCCCCGCAAGATACCTACCTAGGTCCGAATGTGTGGAATATCGTCAGACCTGACAAGGGACGGCCGTATCGTCCTATTGTGGATAGCGCAGCCGCATACTTGCTTGGGAACTAGGCGAGCGGGCCGCATTATTTTCGCAGTGAAGAGGGGTTGAGAAGAGGGACTGAACGTCAGACGTGAGGAGAGGAGCAAAAGGCAACATGGTTCAGCAGCGGTCAGTTATCGACGGGCGGCGGTCTGGAAGATGGACAAGCCAGGTCGTGCTTGTTGCGGGTTCAACAAATGTTCAAAGTGGGCGCCCGGGAAGACGGAATGACTCGCCGATCCAGAATGACGGACCAGAAGATCTTGTCACGCACTCGAGTATCCGTACCAAGAAACAATAGAGACGGCTTGGTTGAATCGACTGCCCTCGGAGTTTCGTCCGACGCCTGCCAGTTCGCTCAGCTCGCCTTTTCCTGTCACCCGGAAATATGCAATGAATCGGTTATGGAATCGGGGGATTTCAAAGTCATTGGCGCCTTTAAGGTTTGATGGTCAGCACAGCTGCGAGAGACTCACTCGTGGAAGCGAGGGCGGGGCCATGGTTACATGGTCTGTTTCTGTTACCGGACACTGATCATGGATGGTATGCAGTTTTCGACTTCTGTGGATATCTGAACACAGCTTGTTTGGATTTTGGCCACAAGCGGGCGTCGCCGTGCCACCCGCGGATCGCTTGCTCGAGGCACCAGGAAAATTATTGAACCTGCACAGTACGGATCCTTACAACTTCTGCTTTGACGATCCCATATAAAAGTGTCGGTATCAACGCGGAATGTGGGCTGCGCGATCAGGATACCCGTAAAGTTCGATCCCCTACAGAGATGCAGACGAGGAGGCTGTAGGATCGTAATGGGATCGACAATCAACGCCGTGTCTGCTGTCTGTCAAAACCAGCTAGAACGACCACAGGTATGCCGAGAAATCCAGTCGGCCGTGCATGAGAGCGGCATGGCATCCCGCCAGGCGGATCGAATCCGAATCGCCGCCCACAATTTGGGGCTGCATAGCTAATGCTCACTAATCTGTCTAGGCTAACATGGCACACGTGTGCTGATGTCTGTTGCTCCAGTCAAGTTGTGAGTGATTGTGGGTTGGCATACCAATAGATCCAGGCAATCGCCTCTTATGTATCCTATGAAGCATGTGAGCAAGAAAGTGTGGCAGACTAGGTTCGTCCAATGCGAACAGCAGCACCACACCACCACGATAGCTCCAGCCATGCACAATGTCCGCAGGATACTGGTATGGCCTCCCACGGCGGGCCCTTGCCTGGAGTGGGCACTTGAGTTGACGAGAAATATCACGTTGACCCAGATGGTGCTGACAGCAGTATTATTCGATACTGACTTGAGTATTCCCAACAAACAGTCCTGGCGCTTCAAGTTGAGAGCTTCATGGGTATGGAACATGGGATCTTGAACTATGATTGTAAGTTGCCGACGACCCCTCTTTCACTCGGGTCTGTATCCAAGTTGCACCCCTGATGGAAGGACGAGTCGACTAGCTGGACTGACTGCTTTGCAAATTGCTTACAACCCGCGCAGTTTTGCTTATCTCGACGTTACTCAGGCTCTATTACTTTCAAGTTGACACCACCGCGAGCCAACCAAGTCCGAGCTTTTCAAGGCGTTTAACAGTACTCCGTACGGTGATGACGGCCCTGGGAACCCAAAAAACGCAACCAGATTGCCGGGAAAGACGCAAGACCAGGGGGGTTGTATGTTTTCTCCCCGAACGGCGAAACATTCGCATGTTCACCCCCCCTGTCCGCCTGTCTCGCCAGTTTTTCTTCTTCGGCGATTGACACCCGAAAACTGCAACATCCGACTACGGGCTCAAGGGCTCTGTCTCTCTCCCTTGTCACCGCCTTGCCCTTGATCTTTGCTCATCAGCCAACAAACCCAACTGGGGCTGACGGGATCTGACAGGGGGGGCGGGGGAGAACCTCAGAAACATGGACCATGGCCCTTTTTGCGAGGCTTTCGAGGAGTACTCCGTAACCCGGCCGGCCAAGCTGTACCCCCAATATCGCCACGTATTCTTGCATTTCAGCATCAACTTTCCCATCCCGCGCGAGGGTCGACGTCCGAATGGCACCTTGGCTGAGGAGGGTGGGATCGAGAACAAGAAGGAATAAATCCGACCGCAGGGCGAGAACAGATTATCAGGGGAAATTACCAGAGACAGCGGGCCAGCCCGAGTTTACCGTCCGCGCTCATTGCTTCTTCTTCAGAAGAAGCCTTCGATGAACCACGGTAGAGCGAGAGCAAGATCAGCAAGTGACCCCCAACAAAAAACAACCTCAACGAGGCGAACAGCGATATTCGTAACATCAACCAGTCAATGTCGAGAGGGCAATGCGTGGCATGCTGGAAAGAAAAGCCCGAAAACGACCCCTGTATCCGTACAGCATTGCTCAATAGTTACACCGGTGACCGCGGTGCCGCGGCAGCTCAAAGGCAGCCCTTGTCGCCGCCCGTCCCTTTTTCCCCAGGCCGGTCCGCTCCCGCCGCTCCGCGTCCACAGGCCCAGGAAATACCCCCAAAGGAATGTCGATATCATTCGTTTTCGATGTCAAATCATCCCACCACCGCCAAAGACCCGCGGCGAAATTAGGAATTGTCACGCTTGCCCTACCGTACTTGGGGTAGGTGAAAGAAGGGAAAAGACGCGAAACCATTGGAAGCAAGCCACCCGATGACCGACGCAAGACTTTCCCGTCCTGCACCCCAAAGACGGCGGCGTTGCTTTTGCAGCCTGGGCACTAGGGAACTAGGGGACTACTGGGCCTTTGCGCAGTAGCTGCACTGGGCCTAGTAGTTGCATCCTACATTCCGGTGTACGGATATGGAGACCGATGTTTGCTTTCCGAACCCGCGACCACGATTAATCATCGTGGTCACGGCATGGCCCCCAAGTTCGTATCTTTTTCATTCTCCAACCTCTAACATTAAGATGCGGCTCATATAGCACCGGGTTGCTGGGCTCATTGTGTACCATCAATAAGCTGCGCTGGCTTCTCTCGCCGAACCACCGTGTGTGCCTCGTTTCAAAGGGACCTGACAACCGCCTCTTTTCCCACGTGGAGCCACAGGCGGCTGGGGTAGCCCGGCGACCAAGCCATAAAACCCCAAAGAGGGAGGGTGTGATGAAATTGAGGCTTTCACGGCTTCCTACTCAGGAACAGTTCCAACGGACACGTCCATGTTGATCTCTTGTCTGAAATGACTCTCGTATTGTTCGTCTTTCCCGCCAAGAGGGCAGATGACGGGGATGTAAGTCAAAGGTCCGACAATAGGTCTGTCACATATATCAGATGTCATGCTTCACAGCCAGCTACTGGTACAGCTGAACCTAAGTACATCCCGCGCCTGACCCCAGGAGGAATGCGATTCGGCCATGGGATCAAGCAGGGGCTTTGCGTCAGCTTTGCGAGCGGCAATGATTACGGATACATTCCTAGAGTAATGAGCTCAGAACATTCCAGCTTTCCAAAGATCCCGCCTTGCCCGACCATCTTCTCACCTTGGATACCTTGACAGTGGTAGACGGAACGGGAACGGCAGTAGGCGGATGTTTCAGAGACGGCAGCCCACACCTTCGGATCTTCCGCAGTCTCCATTAACAAGCCGTCATCAACATCATGTCATCGGGTCGTTCAGCTGTAGCAAAAAATGGGCCCAGCACGTTTGTTGCAACAACGCCAACCCATTAGCACCACCAGCGGTAGCCCGGTTATCGCACACTGTGGTCATGATCCCGCTGGAGCCGTCTTCTCCGGCTCTTCCCTGATCTTCTCTAGCTAGAACCATGGCTCCGTCACGGTGAACCGAAGATCAGATCAAAGGGAAGGCGGAGGCGGATGCGGAGACGATGGTGACTTGACTGTACAGTAACCACTGCCGCTGCCGCTGCCACTGCCGCCATGATACCTTACGCAAGCCTACCTGCCTGGCGAGGTAGGTCTGACTGACGAGTGCGACCTTCCCAGCAGAGCAGCGTAGTATAACCGTAGGCTGGTTTGCCGGGTTTGCCCAGACTCAAAGATCAGCAAGCAGAGTGTCCG